AGAGAGAGAGAGAGAGAGAGAGAGAGAGAGAGAGAATTACTTCAGAAAGAAGAACTCTCCTTTAAAATAAATACATCTGGGGTTGGGAAACATTTATGATGTTATGCTCACTTTTCTTACTTCATCTCAGACATGTGAAACCTATTTATTTGCAACACTGATCATCTAACCAACTAAAGAATCCTGTGACCCTGAACAGAGTGTCCGCATTCCTAAGCTCCTCCATCTCCCTGGACTGGGACTGGCTGGGCAGCACAGGGACCTGTGGAGGGGGGAGGCAGGGCTGAAGGAAAAATGAGGAATCTGGGCGTGGTAGGAACACTGAAGTCCTTGGAGAAAGACCTCTCCAGGGAAGGAAGACCCAGTCAGGACACTAGGCAGGGAACAAGGGAACCTGGACAGCCTGGGGCAGAGTATACGAAGGTGAGGATTATGAGGAGCATAACACAAGCAGGAGGGAGGCCAGAAAAGACGGCTCCCTGATGCCCAATTCTATAGGCAAAACAGACAAGACATGAAGCAACTGGGAAAAGGACTGCTTGGCCCCATGCCCTGTGTGAGCAAATTCACAAAAGACCACACATTTCCCCAGCAGTGGGCTGTCATTCCATCCTTCTGATGTTCAGTACTTGACTCAAGGGCTGTGTAAAGATATGCAGGGATGTCAGGGGAGCCAAAGATTTTCAGAGCCAGGGCCCCAGTTCAGTGAGGCCCCACGGTCTGCTTTAAGGCCAGCCATAGATTCGGAGCAGTCCTGGGGCCCACAGCAAACTGAAATTTCCCATCTTCACACTGGTGACCTGAACTTAACAGGGCAGCAACCCTCTGGCCTTGTCCATTTCTTTCTCATAGTACCAGTTTATAACCTGCCCCTTTCTTTTCCAAACTCCTGAAGGTCCCCAATGTAGGAAGTGACCAGTTCTGAACACTTGTCTTTCTGGGGCTTCAAAGAACACAGACTCTGGCTAGGCTAAGAATCCCTTGTCCTGGAGCTAAGTGTCCATATACAATGGCAGAGGATGGCAGGAGAGGGGACTCATGGCCACCTTGAATGGTGACACTGAATGTAGTAATTTCTGTTTTGGTGTGGCAAGGTGGGCAGTCTGATTGACATGTCAGGATCTCCTTGTAGGGGACCAATTCTGCCTCCAGAGTAGCTAGCCAAGAAGCCAGGGACATACCTGCTGTTTTCCAACAAATACACACCCAGTTACTGCTCTGGGGCCCCAGATCTTTGAAAAAAAGTGCAATAGAGCAACCCAAAATCCCAGAATCCCATAGCTTCCAGGGCCCCACACCTTTGAAATGCCATATCAGAGAAGCCTGAGAATGCATGCCAAGTTGTATGCACAGTATTCTTTATTGTCACATGTCACCCATGGGACAGGAGCAGAATGGGGAGGGGAGCCCTCAGGCAGAGAAGTTGAAGAAGGAGAGGGAGCTACCAACTTTTCACACATTTCCTTCCTCCTGGCTGATGACAGTGGGTGGTTGGCAGGACCCGTTTAGATACAAGCACAGTGTTGTGTGAGAAGGTTGGGCACTGTCTCATACTTGATAGAGTAGCCTCCATCTGTGGTGGTGCGAACCTGTAAGGGCCTCATAGTTCCCAGGAGAGCAGCACAGCAGGGCTGTGCTCCTGGCACCAGAGTTAGGGGCTGGACAGAGGTTGGGGGCGCTCCCTGGACTGGTTGGAGCAGGTCTGGTGGAGTGGGCAGCCCACAGCCACCGTGGCAGTAGTGGAAGATGAAACTGGGAGGGTGTACGATCCAGTGGTCCCAGCCCAGCTCCTGGAAGGAGATGTTGAGCGCAGCTCTGTGGCAGTAGGCGTGGGCAGTGGGCTCCTCTGGAGGTCTCTGCAGCAGGCGCAGGGCAGCGGGAGACCAAGGCCAGGGCATTTGGGGAGCTGAACGCCGAGCTCTTTCCCCTCCAGTGGATGGTCTGGCCCGAGTGTGGGCCACGAGGAAGGGTGTATCCTCAGGCCGGGCAGAGCAGAAACAGAGTGGGCAGCGCAGCAATAGCACCAGGACAGGGTGGGTCAGCAAAGGGAGAGCAGAGGTGGCCAGCCGTAGCACCGCCCAACGGGGGGGTGCCTGGCCAAAGGATATGGGCACAGCCACGGGACCCCCTGATGACAGCACCAGTAGCTCTAGCAGGGACCCTGAGCTATTGGACGGTGCTATGCCCCTCCTGTCCAGTCCAGTGTGGAACCACAGTTGTGCTGAAATCACCTGGCGGCTGCGCAAGTGCTGAGATGGCCGGAACATATATGTGAAGAGACCCTGGTCAGCCTCCGGGACCAGGCCTCCAGCGGCTGCCTCGTCCTCACAGCTGACACCTGCAGGGGACAGACAGGAAGGGAGAGGGCAATCCTGACTGGCAGGACCCAAGAACACCCACCTACCTGCACAGGAGGGATGTGGCTGGCACAGAGGACTAAGGATGTGCCGCAGCTCTGCAGAGTGCCCTGCCAGACCTGGGTACTCTCCCAAGTCTTAGGGGAACTGACATAGGCTCCCCATTTTTTCATGTCATCATTAAAGCACCTAAAAATTACAACTTCTCTCTGAAGCATTTTTACCAATTAATATTCCAAACAGCAATGTGTCAAAGTCACTCTACCTTCACCAACACTTAAACTGTTAAACTTTTGTTCACCAGAGTATGAAGAGGCATCTTGAATGCTGTGTATATGGCTGCTATATTACTCTTGTCTTTTGGCACATTGAAACAGTACATGATAAATGATTTAAAACAATTCCAATTTTTAAAGGCAGCCTAACACATACCCAAAAGAGAAGGAAGAAGAGGAAGAGGAAAAGAGGAGGAGAGGGAAAAGGAGGAGGAGGAGAACAAAAGAGGCAAAGGGGTAAGAAGCTATAATTTAGAATAAAACACAGTCCTTCCTAAGAAAGTGCAGCTGGCCCCTTTGCCCTGACATATACGTGGACTATACTCCAACAATCATGGGCCAGCCTCGATCAAAGGACTGGCCACAGCAGCTACATTATCACACGACTTTTCATTATTAATTTCTAACAACTAGTTCATTTTGCAGATAAGCAACTGAGGCTTAAAAGGATGAAGGACATTCCACTGCTAAGTGACTAGACCTGATTCCAAAGCCATACCTCCCCCAATCTGCTGCTCAGGGGCTGAAGCAAGGGAGGCAAGGATTCACCTCTAAGAGAAAGGCAGGCCCGATGAGGAGAAAGCCAACCCAGAGGAAGGCTTTATTCATCCAGTTGCTGGAACACAGTGAAGCATGTAAAGAAGACAGGAATGCAAGAGAAAGTATGTTTCCCAACTAAGTGTTTTCCAGCATCCTTGGCATCTTCTCAAGTTTCAGCAACCGGATTTGAAGGAAGGGGCTCTGTCTCTAGAGACCCTAGTCTCTCAGAGACCTTCCTTGTGCCAGTCACTCCAGGTGTACGTTTCACTCGATCCTGAAAGCACTACCACCCAGTAGACAGATGAGACAGAGACCCTGGGGAAGCTTAGTAAGTGGCCTACGGTTGCAAAGCCAATTGAGTGACAGGAACAGGATTCAAACTCAGGTCAGCCTGGCTCTCAAAGTCACCCGCCTGATCCCCATCCTCGTTACCTGTGGCTGGGAAAAGGATGGATTGGGAGACATCCTCCTCCTGCTGCTCTGAGCTCCTGTGGATGAAAACCCCTGCAGTGTGTCTTCGGGGCAGCCGCCTGATTCCAGGAACCTCACCTTCGCCAGTCCCAGTTGGGGGACCCAAGGCATCCAGGAACAGGGCCTTCACCTTGGCCAGGACCAGCTCTCGGTCAAGCTCCATCCCGTGGCAGCCATGACTGCCCTGAGGGGCCAACAGCAAAAGCAGCAGCAGGCACAGCCAAGGCACCATAGCTCACCTGGCCTTGCCAATAGGGAACCCACACCCTGCCCTGTGCCCCTTCTTCCAGGGTCTGCCCGGTGCCTCCCCACTCTGCCCTCCCCATCCCACCACCCACCCTCTTCTACTCTTCTCACCCTGGTCTTCCTCAGTCCTTCCCACGCCTTGCAGGCCCAGTTGCCCCTATCCATGACATTGAGACCTCCTATCTCTGACGCAGATGTCTGTGGCCCTGAGCCTTATCTCCCACTCTCAACAAGAATGTGGGGGAGGGGCAGAGAGGGCATTCACCCCAAGTGACCTGATCCATGCATACAAGCATACCCCTTTTCCTACACACACGAGTGTGTGGGCACACAATACACACGTGCACACACACACTGTTTCACGTGCCAGGGTCCAACAGAGATGACATCAGGAGGTAGAGAAGCCAAGCAGCTGAGGTTGGCCAGCTTCTGAAAGTGTCATTTGTCCGAAGACAGAATGCACCCAACCCCCTCAGACCTCCTGGGGCCCCCTACAGTCAAGCAGCTGCTGGGCCAGCGTGGGGGAAGGGCCAGGGCTAGAACTGGGGCTCTGGTCGGGGGCAGGTGGACCCTGCCTGCTCTATACTTAGCCTAGAGAAGCCAGACTGGGCTCCTGTCCTCCAGCTGTGTCATCAGAGAATATTTTGGGGATTGGCAGCTGCAGGCGCCTCTGCCACTCAGGCCCAAGCCTGGCTGTCGGTCGAGGACCTGGCAGCTGGAAGTGGGAGGGAGGAGGGGAGAGAGGCCAGGGCTGTGGGAGGGGGCTGGGAAGAGAGGCTCCCGGAGCAGGAAGCCAGGCCTCGGGCAGAGCAGACACGGGGCCCCTTGCAGGAAAGGCAAACAGGAAGTCTGCCCCCTGTGCTCCGGGCTCCGGGCCCAGGAATCTCCGCCGCCCTGCTGCTCCGGGCCGAGGGTAAGAAGGCGAGCCGGGAAGGGGCGGCCGGGGAGAGCTCCCCAGTGCGGCCACCCTTGCCACCCCACCGCCTGCCCTTCCCCCGCGCCGCGGCGCCCCATCTGCACCAGCTGCGATGAAGCCGGGATCTGGGGACCAGGGGAGTCCCCCGTGCTTCCTGCGCTTCCCGCGGCCCGTGCGGGTGGTGAGTGGCGCTGAGGCCGAGCTCAAGTGCATGGTGCTGGGGGAGCCGCCGCCCACTGTTGTGTGGGAGAAGGGCGGGCAGCTGCTGGTGGCTTCGGAGCGCCTGAGTTTCCCGGCGGACGGCGCCGAGCACTGCCTGCGGCTGAGCCGCGCGCTGCCCACCGACGCCGGGGTCTACGTGTGCCGCGCGCGCAACGTAGCCGGCGAGGCCTACGCGGCGGCAGCCGTCACAGTGCTGGAGCCGCCCGCCCCGGAGCTGCAGCCCGAGACCCGGTCCGCGGAGCGTCCGCTGCCGCTGCCGCCGGGCAGCAAGGAAAGCGCCCCGGTGTTCCTGACGGGGCCCCGGTCCCAGTGGGTGCTGCGGGGGACGGAGGTGGTGCTGACGTGCCGGGTGGGGGGGGTTCCCGAGCCCACGCTGTACTGGGAGAAGGACGGGATGGCCCTGGACGAGGTGTGGGACCACAGCCACTTCGCGCTGGAGCCTGGCGCCGCGGGTGGCCCGGGCACCAGCCTGGCGCTGCGCATCCTGGCGGCGCGGCTGCCGGACTCGGGCGTCTTCGTGTGCCACGCCCGCAACGCGCACGGCCACGCGCAGGCGGGCGCTCTGCTCCAGGTGCAGCAGCCCCCCGAGAGCCCTCCCGAGGACACGGACGAGGCCCCCACGCCCGTGGTGGAGCCACAGAAATGTGCACCCAAGACCTTCTGGGTGAACGAGGGCAAGCACGCCAAGTTCCGCTGCTACGTGATGGGCAAGCCCGAACCCGAGATCGAGTGGCACTGGGAGGGCCGCCCGCTGCTCCCCGACCGCCGCCGCCTCATGTACCGCGACCGCGACGGCGGCTTTGTACTCAAAGTGCTCTACTGCCAGGCCAAGGACCGCGGGCTCTACGTGTGCGCGGCGCGCAACTCTGCGGGCCAGACGCTCAGTGCTGTGCAGCTGCAGGTCAAAGGTAGTGTGTCCTGGGCCTTTCTTACTCTGGCACCCCTTGGTGCCCAGAGCTGCCTTGAAGCCTGGTGGTTGATACTCCCACATCGATGTTTTGTAGGTCTCTGGGGCACTTAGCAAACTACCCAGGTTATTCCCAGACAGATAATGGAAACAGCTAAAGAGTAACTTGCAAACCATGAAACCCTACAACTCCTATCATCCAGTGGTTTTCAACCTTTGCTAGTGGAGCCCCATTTCTTCCCCTGTTGAATTCCTAGCAGCAGCCCCAATGTGTAAGGCAGATAAAAGGGAGTTTTAACTTGAAAGGCCAAGGCAGGAGGGACACAAGTTTGAGGCCAGCCCAGGCAACTTAGGGAGCCCTTGTCTCAAAAAAAGAAAGGCTGGAGATGTAACTCAGTGGTAAAGCACCCCTACGTTCAATCCCCAGTACCACAAACACACCCAAACGTTTTGAGTATAAATTTCTAAATCTAAATTTATAATGTATTGACACCACTCAGTGAGAATAAGGGGGCTATTGTATGGAACACACACATCTGGAATGGAGGCTTTATTCGTAGTGAGTCTGTGGAGAAGGCCCCAGTCATAAGCCAGTTCACAGGAGAGGTAGGCTTAAGGGAGGAAAAAATGGCCTGTAATTTCTATTTCTCTGGGCATTGATCCCAGGTTCATTGCATTGTCGAACATTTCTAGCCCTTTTTATTTTTTTTTAATTTTATTTATTTGTTTATTTATTTATTTTGTGTATGTGTGGCCAGCTCAGCCCACCAGGGGGCGGGGCTGGCTGGCATGTGGTGCTGGGGGATAGAACCGTGGTCCCTGTGCTTTGTTTAGCTTAGCTTGTCCTAAGTAGGTGCTTTAGACCACTGAGCCATCTCACCAGGCCCTTTTTATTTTGAGATGAGGTCTTGCTAAATTGCCCAAAGGGGGCTCAAACTTGTGATCCTCTAGCTTCACCTTCCCAAGTAATGTAGTTAACATTCCAGGGATGCACCACCATGCCCAGATAATTATTCAATTTCTTTCTTTTTTTTGTGGTACTGGGAATTGAACTCAGGTCCCTGCGCTTGCCAGGGAAGTGCTTATTCTACTGAGCTATCTCCCTGGTCCCTTTGAATTTCTTTCATTAAATTCTTCTTCATGTTTAAAAGGAGAGCAAGTATATTCAAAGTTGAATCACCAGTGACATAATGCTTACATTACCCATAAACAGAAAATGCAGACAAAACAAACATTCCCCAAAGTCCCACTTTAGTAAAAGCTCTCTACCACAGAATTTCATCACAACTTGAGAGATTACACATTCACTAGTTAGTGCACAACTTTCTCCCTCAGAGGAAAAAATGTTGATAAATCCTTATGATCCCTGTGGGGCATGCAGTCAAGCGTGTGGCACCTGGACTGCGATGATGGCCTCACTAGTATGACTTGCTGTGCCTAGACTTGCCTGACTGATCTGGGATCCAGAAAAAAAAAAGCCAGAGGAACTTTGCAGAGCTTAGCTTCTCCAGCAGTCCTAGTTAGCCTTCTGCTTGTTTGCAGTGCTGTATTTCCTAATTTTGATTTTTTTTTTTTAATAGAACCAGGGATTGAACTTAGGCCTTTGCACTTGCCAGGCAAGCGCTTATTCTACTGAGCTACCTCCCCGGCCCCCGTAATTTTGAAATACAGTTTTGAAAATGGTTACAGTACTTTAAGAATGAAAATCAAGTCAGATTCTTGCTGAATTTCTGAAATGCCTCAGAGGGGTCCAGGGAACAGTTTGAAGAATCAGTCATCTGGTCTGGCCCCTCCTCTTTACTTCCTCATTTTACAAGTAAGGAAACTGAGGCATAGGAACATCAAAATGGCCTTGTTCAGAGTGACATGATGGGACTGGGGAGATAGCTTGGTGGTCTAAGTGCCTGCTTGGCAAGTGCAAAATCCCGAGTTTGATCCCCTGTACCGAATACCTTGTGGGCCCTGGAACTGGGCATGGTGGCACACGCCTATAATCCCAGTGCTGGGGAGACTAAGACAAGAGGAACACTACGAGTCCAAACTACATAGTGAGACCCTGTATCCAAAACAAAAAGCGAAATGCCGAAATGCCGTGGCTTGTGGGTGTCAGGGTCAGATGAGAAGTTAGGCCATCTTCCATCCCTTCTGGTGATTTTGCTGAGACTCCACAGCCCTGAGGGGAGAGAAACTGCATGAGTTCCTGAATGCTTAAGAGGCTTACCAGGCTGGCTCCTCTCCAGAACCTTCTCTCCTGTCTGTCCTCTGCAGAGCCCCGCCTCCGCTTCACGATGCCCCTGCAGGATGTGGTTGGCCGGGAGAATGGCATTGCGGTGCTGGAGTGTAAAGTGCCCAACTCCCGCATCCCCACGGCCTGGTTCCGAGAGGACCAACGGCTGCTTCCCTGCCGAAAGTATGAGCAGATTGAGGAAGGCATTGTCAGACGCCTCATTATCCACAGGCTGAAAGCAGATGATGACGGTGTCTACCTGTGCGAGATGCGGGGCCGGGTTCGCAGCGTGGCCAATGTGACGGTCAAAGGTTGGCTGGCCAGCGGGAGGAGGCTAAGGCTGGCAGGAGCTTAGACACAGAGCTGATAGACTTCCATCTACATCTCAGGGCCCATCCTGAAAAGGCTGCCCCGGAAGCTCGATGTCCTGGAGGGAGAGAATGCTGTGCTGCTAGTGGAAACACAAGAGGCTGGGGTCAAAGGCCGCTGGAGCCGTGATGGGGTGGAGCTGCCAGCCACCTGCCAGAGCAGCTCTGGCCACATGCATGCCCTGGTCCTTCCTGGGGTCACCAGAGAAGATGCTGGTGAAGTCACCTTTAGCCTGGGCAACTCCCACACATCCACTCTGCTCAGAGTCAAATGTGAGCCACCCCTGGATAGGAAGTTCAAGGTGGAAGGGTGACCAGATGCCAGGGCTGGGTTTGCCAACATGGACATAGAGTGAAAAGGTTATAGGGGGCTGGATGAGGCTTGAATGCAAACCCAGCTTTTGTCTCAGGCGTCAAGCACAGCCCTCCAGGACCCCCCAAGATGGTAGAGATGTTCAAGGGCCACAAGAACACCGTCCTGCTGACCTGGAAGCCTCCAGAACCACTTCCTGAGACCTCCTTCATCTACCGGCTGGAGCGGCAGGAGGTCGGCTCTGAAGATTGGATCCAGTGCTTTAGCATCGAGAAAGCTGGAGCTGTGGAGGTGCCAGGGGACTGCGTGCCCGCTGAGGGAGACTACCGCTTCCGCATCTGCACAGTCAGCGAACATGGTCGCAGTCCCCACATTGTGTTCCAGGGCTCTGCTCACCTTGGTGAGTCCATCCTGCCAGACCCTGCCTGTCGGTGCTGCCCCAAGCCCTGCCCTCCCATCACATCTCCTCCTTTCCCTGGCACTCAGTCTCTGTCCTCTTATTTCCTTCCATCTGCCCGCCCTTGCCCTCTGCTGCCCTTGCCAGTTCTGACAGCTGCACTCTGTGTTTGCCTTAGTCCCCACAGCTCGCCTGGTGGCAGGTCTGGAAGACG